TGTCACACGCAGTGTCACCACCCCGGGCCCTCTGCTAAACCCTGTCCTCTGGGGACACCGTGGGGGAAACTGAGGCACGACCGTCCTGTGCTCAAGTCCCTCACCCTGAAAACTGAGAGGGCACTTCTAAATGCCAGCTGAAAACACGTACAGCCCCTCTGCTCAACCGGTCACAGCACGACACAGCTCGTGTCACTGGCACTGCCTGGCACAGGGACAGATCAGGAATGTAACAGCAGGCCTAGCCAAAACAACAGGACACAGTTCCAGACAGACGCTGGTTTTAGATGTTGTGGTGTGAGCCTATCTCTGTGCCAAGGACATGAGGAACTCATCCTGGAAAGCTTTTCTCCCTCATTTGTGCCCATCGGCTCCAGAAACTTACCCCTTTCCCTGTCCATCTTGCTCAGCAGGTTCTCTGGAAGAAGGAAAAGAAGATGCATGAGTCCTCCTCCTGTGGCACCTTTCCCACTCCTCTTCAGGACAGCAAGCCAGACACGGGCTCTCAGAGCCCCAAGCTCCGGTGAAGTCTCTCTTGGAGATGGTTCCCATGTGGAACAGGCGTGTTTTGCTCCCAAACCCCAGAGCAGAGGCACCAGGCAGTGAGGATCTCCCGCTGCCAGCCAAGCCCAGGGGAAGCACAGCACGGAGCCAGCAGTGCTTTACCTTTGAATTTGGCCACTGTGCCCAGCACCAGCTGGCACGTCTCGGAGAGGGTCTCAACAGTCCTCTGCAGCTCCGGGGAAACCGCCTCTGGGATCGGGGCCTTGGCTGCCTCACAGCTGAGGGGGGGACAACACAGAGAGCAGCTCTGAGCCCAACCACAGCACCCAGGAGGGGAACGGGGAAATCCCCCCAGCCACAGAACTCAGGAGCTGTGTCCCAGCTACCAGCACGGGAACCCTGCCTTTAAGAGGGGTGCAACAGCCTCTGGTTAAATCCCAAACACTCAGCAGGGCAAACCACCTCCCTCCCGGCTCCCGCAGCATTCCCAAACCTCTGCCCAAAGAGCCGTGTGGGGGGAGAGCAACGCCGAGCCCGTTTCGTACCCGCTCAGGATTTTGCCAACGTCCTGGAAGAGAGAACACACAGGAGAGCTCTGGCAATGCTGACAAGAACCGTCGTGGTGCCAGGGGCGGGGAGTTACAGCTGCTGTGTGAAGCAGGTGATGGGATCGGGGAGGGGGTCGCTCCACACCTCATCCCAACCCTCCCCTTCCCTCAGGGGACGCTGCAGCCCCTGACCCACAGCAGCCACGCCGGTGTCACAGCCTGGCACCACGCCCAGGCTCCGGGCTGCAGCGGGATGTGGAGGGTGCCAGGCGGGTGCCCCCAGCCTCACCGCGGGGTCATGGTGCCCAGGGGGGTGATGCAGCCTCACCATGAGGAATTCCACGTCCGGCTGGTCACGTTTCTTCTCGATGTCCGCAATCAGCGTGTCCAGCAGCGATCTCCGCTCTGCAACACTGGAGTTGTATTCAGAGGATCTCTTGACGAGCTCCTGGGACACTGGGCCAAGCTGGGCCAGCAGGGCCTTCTTCTGCTCCTGCAGGAACTTCTCCAGATCCTCAAAGGTGTTCTGCAGCGTCTCGTCCTCCAAGGCCACCCTATGCTGCAAGGCATCACGTGGAGGCCGTGAGCCATCCCAGACTCCTCACGGGCACGGGTGTTGGGAGAGGGGCAAGGGCCACATGGAAAGGGAGAGGAGATTTTGGAGGGAAAAGCTGGAAGAATGGAGAGAGAGGTGGCAAGTCTAGATGTTGACAGACCCAAGGAGGAGATATGGGATGGTCAGAGAGGGAGGGAGAAAAGCACGTTGTCACGGAAAAGGAGAGAAAGATGGGACATGCCCGGGAAGGTGGGCTGGGTGAGCGGGTGCAGGGCATGGAGGGGAACACACACCAGCAGCTCATCACTTTTTGGCTCTCCTTTGGACTTTAATTCTTCCTTCGCTTTCTGCAGAAAAACCAGGTTGCTCTGGAGTGTCTCCTGGGATGGGGAGGAAAAAAAAAAAGGTGGATTTGGCAATTTTGGAGCGACATTTGCAGGAGGGAGATGATATCACCAAGCAGCCCCTGTGGGGACAATCCTGCTCTGTGGGGTCACTGGGGGTGGCCCCTGGGTGCCCGGGGGTGGGTTTTGAGCTCGGAGGCAGCACCCACCTCTCCAGGCACACACTAGTGAGGCTGGGGAGATTCCCCCATCCACAGCTGTTATGGCCAGAGGCATTTCTGGAATAGCTTCATGTGGAAACTCTGGAGTTTGTGGTTTGGGTTTTTTGGATTTTTTTTTTCTTTTAATTAGGAAAAACAACTTTTGGTGTTGGAAGTGGGATTTGTGGGAAGAGGTTTGCACTGACAGTAGCAGTGTCTCAGACATGCTCTGTAAATCCACTGGAGTATTAAAAATCCCTCGTGCTCCTCTGAGCCATCCCCTGCAGCACAGCGAGCCAGGACTCTACATTTTGGGGGGGAGACCCTGGCTGGGGATGAATGGGGCACAAGGGACTGTGTGGGGATACGGGGAGGGGGGAGAGGGACCTGTGCTCCTGGGAGGGCTGGGGGCAGGCAATGGGCAGTGGGAGCCATGGGAAAACCAGCAGCCCACCCAGGCTGGGATACGGGACCCCAGCCCACGGCCAGATGGGGACCCCAAACCTGTACCCAGACAGGGACCCCAGCCAGCAGCTGGATGAGGCCCCAGATCCGTGGCTGGACAGGGACCCACCCTAACCTGTGCATGCAGGGGAAGCAGACTGTGCCCTGAGGGGACCCCAGTCCGTGTTCAGGAGACCCCGACCTGTGTTTGGGAGGGACCCCAGATGCTGGAGGGGGCCTCACCTATGTGTGGAGGAGACCCACATCCAGGCCATCCCCAGACTGTCCCTGAAAGGGACCCCACGTGTGTGCCCAGAGGAGACCGAGATCCATGCCCAGGAGAGCCCCCAGCCCATACTCAGAGGGGACCCCAACCTGTCCCTGAAGGGACCCCAGATGTGTGCCCGGATGGGACCCCATCCCACCTTGGAGGGGCCCTCAACCTGTGCCCCAAAGGGACTCTGACCTGTGCCCTGAGGGGGACCCCAACCTGTGACCCGAGGTGCCCCCAGCCCATGGCCGGAGGGGACCCCGACGCGTGCCCTTCTCCCCCCACCCGCAGCCGCGAAGCCCCCAGCCTGTGCCCAGCCCGACCCCATCCCGTGCCGTCCCCGCAGGTCCCGGACAGTCCGTGCCTAACCCGATCCCATCCCGCCCCGTCCCCGCAGGTCCCGGACAGCCCGTGCCTAACCCGATCCCATCCCGCCCCGTACCCGCAGGTCCCGGACAGCCCGTGCCTAACCCGATCCCATCCCGCCCCGTCCCCGCAGGTCCCGGACAGCCCGTGCCTAACCCGATCCCATCCCGCCCCGTCCCCGCAGGTCCCGGACAGCCCGTGCCTAACCCGATCCCATCCCGCCCCGTACCCGCAGGTCCGTGGCAGCGCCGTGCGCGGCGCGGGCGCGGTGCGGGCGGTGCGCGGGCCCGTCCCGGCAGAGCGCGCACAGCGGGGCCGCGCAGGGCTCGCAGAACAGCGCCAGGGGCTCGCCGTGCTCGGGGCAGCGGGGCCGCCGCGCCGCCTCCTCCAGGGCCCCCGCCAGCCCCGCCACGGCGCCCAGCGAGCGGTTGGGGCGCAGCGAGCCCGGCGACACCGGGGCGCGGCACTGCGGGCAGGCGGCGGGGCGCGGGGGCTGCCCCAGCACGGCCCCCAGGCAGCGCTCGCAGAAGCTGTGCCCGCACTCGGTGAGCACGGGCTGCGCGAACAGCTCCAGGCACACCGGGCAGGTGGCCTCGGCCGCCAGCTGCTCGCCCAGGGCCAGCACCTCCCGATCCATGGCCGAGGGGGAAACCGAAAGTGCCGGCACCGGGCGGGACCGGGGGGAACGGGGCGGGATGGGGGGCGGGATGGGGCGGGGCTGCGGGGACGAGAACGGGTTGCGTGAATTAATGTTTGTGTGTGTAAATGAGTGAGTGTGTGTCAGTGTCTGTATGCAGGGCTGTGTGTGCATTATGTGTCCCTGTGTGTGCCAGTGTGTGTTTACGTGTGTGTGTGTGTGCAAACCAGGGAGGCAGGAGCATGGAAACACCGGGAGGGGGCACAGACAGGCCCCTCTGTGTGTGCTGTGGGTGCACATCCCTGCACACGCGTGTGGCCGTGGGCAGCCCACGTGAGTGGGCACAGACAGGGAGGGCCGGGCTGAGTGTGAGTGTGATCCCTGATCCCAGTCTTACCCCTGGGCACAGCCGGCACTCTCCGGCTCAGCGCTGCCAACCCCTGTGGATGCTCGGGATGCTTCAATTAATTCAATCATTAATAACCTGCAAGGCCTCTGGGAGCTTCGCCCCGGCTCGGCCGTGGCAGCGGGGTGGAGGTGCCAAGCAGGATCTTCCCGAGGCTTGGATCCTTCCCAAGGCCTGGCCCTGGGATCCTTCCCGAGGCCTTGCACTCGGCGGAGCCGCTTCCCGGGGGTTAATGCAGTTTGAAGGGATTGTGTTGGAGCGGCAGCTGTGCCCTGTGGGAGCCGAGGGTAATCCTTTGCTGCCTCACTTTGCACTGCCAGCCCCGTCCTGCTCTCCTGAGATCCCCCCAAACCCACGGCTGCTCCGGGCAGGGGGGCTCCAGCTTCCATCCCCACATCCCATGGCTGCCAGCACCTCTGCCAGTGTCTCCTTCCCTCTTGTCACAGCTCCAGAACACCTGGAGAGCAGCGGCAGCGCTTGGGGAAGGGCAGAGGGTTCCAGGGAGTCCCTTCAGCCAAGTCGTGCCTCTCTCCAGGGACCACGCAGTCCCCTCTGTGCTGCTGCCGTGGGTGCTGGGTGCCCAAAATCAGCCCCCCGTGTTCAGCCATCGGTTTGGCTCCTCTGCCACTCTCACCTGCTGCCAGCTGGGGCTCAAGGAGCATTTTGGGGGAACCCTGTGTACCCCTGACACAATAAAGCAGTCAAACACCCCCTCCCCAGGCAGCTGCTGCCCTGCCATGTCCATGTCCTGCCGAATGCTCCAGTCTCCCCACCCCAGCAGGTCTCCAGCCCTGCCCCAGTGACTCCAGAGGAGTCAGCACGACGCTTCCAGCCCCCTGCTCCCCATCCCTGCACCTCCCCGGGGTGTCCCTGCTCATCCAGAGCCTCTGGGGTGCTGCCAGGGGGTACTCACAGCCCAGCTGTGGTGGCTCCTGCTTGTTCCCTGTCCCCAGAGCTGCTGCCTGCTGGGTGCATCCATGTCCAGCTCCCCTGGCACCCTGGGACAACCCTATGGAACCACGAGCCCTCGAGGAGCCGGTGGGTCCCGCAGCGGGATGGTGCCGTTCACCCCCATGGCTGAGCAGTGTTTGCAGCACTGAGCAACCCTAAAACAAACCCACCTGTGACTGAGTGAAGGGTGATAACCTGCTGATCCCCTGCAGGTGGCTCGGGGGAGGGCAGCGAGGCTGCTCCCACATGTGCCACCCCTGGATCTGTGCCCACAGCACCACCGCCCCGCGCTCGGTGCCAGCCTGGGAGGGGCATGATGGCCGTGTCATATCCCCCTGGCTCGTGGGAGGTGGACTGTTGACACTTGGGCCGCTCAAGGTCACCTGGATGTTGTTAAATCCTGGCAGAATCCAGCGACCAGCGCAGTTATGTCCGCGTGCAGTGGGAAAGCAGCAGCGTGAGGGGGAGAGGAGGTGCCATGCGGGGCCCAGCGATGCAGAGCAGGGCAGGGCCACTGCCAGTCCTGGCACTGCAGAGGGGCAGCCAGGCTGGTAAGGGCTCCTTAGTGCTGGTTTTGCCAAAAAAGAGCTGAATCCATCCATTTTTAGGAAGGAAAAAGGTGCTGCCAGGTCAGCGGTGCTGCCAGTGTGACGAACATGAGCTGCTCAGAACCAGAGTCACTTCTGCTTTTCATTTCCTTCTTCCCCTTAATCGCATCTAGTCCGGATCAGAGGGATGCAGGGAAGCTGCTGAGGAGCCTGGGGCTGCAGCCAGACCCCCTGTCCTGCACCCACACCTCCCTCCTGGGACATCCAGCCCCATCGTGGCACTGTGCATGGAAGCCCAAAACAGTTTGGGGTGGGAAAGAACCTGAAACACCAACTTGTTCCTCCCTTCTGCCATGGGCAGGGACACCTTCCACTAGCCCAGGCTGCTCCAAGCCCCATCCAACCTGGCTTTGCACACTTCCAGGGGTGGAAGTGTCAACCCACGCCAGGCTGCACGCCCTGACCTGAAACCCCAAACTGCTTCCAGGGAGTTGTAGGCACCGCCGGAGCAGTGGGAAGGCTCAACCTTGGCTGGAGCCTGTCCTGGCAGCCCCGAAATGTTCCTGCCCACAGCAGTGACTGGCTGGTGGCTCCTGACAGCTCCACATGGCTGCACTGCCCTCCTTCTATCAGAGGAGAGGCTGCAAATTCCAAATTCAGGATGGGTTCGTACACGGGGAAAGTCCTGGATGAGGACTTTGGTTCTGCAAAGGCATTAACAGGTCATGACAACTTATCCCACCATCGCTCTGTTTATTGATGCCACTGTCCCACATGAGATCTGACACCGCTGGGAAGGAGCCCAGAGAGCTCCAGGGAGTTGGTGTCACCCCTCTGGCCACGGCCTGGCCCTTGGGATGCATCCACAGCCCAACCTCGGGACATGCAGTGAGGACAAACTGGATCACAGGGAACCAAGTTGGTGGAGATAGCAAGGAGGCAGCCCCGTGTGCCACCCCCTGTGACATGTGGAGAGGGACCCTGGCAGCAGGGACCTGGGAACTGGGACATCTCCCACAGGCAGCTCTGAGCTGGTCAGGGCCTTTCTTGGAGCCAGCCCAGGACCTGCTCCTCAGCTGGGGCAGGAATCCCACTGCTCCCTCCACTAGTTCAGAGAGCAGAGGGGCAGTTAAACACACCGAGGTGTTGTGGCAGATCCACGGTGACCCCACAGCAGGCAGGGCCAGACCCCCAGCACCCCGGTGCCCTCGCGCCGCTCTGGTGGCAGCGGGAAGGCCGGACCCCGGGGAGGACTGAGCGCCAGGAACGAGTGTTCGGAGGAGCCTTGCTGAGGGGTCCTACCAGAAAAAGGCTCTTTTACTGCAACTAGAATTTTATTCTATTGTATAATTCAGGAGTGCATCACAGCCCCGCGAGCCGGGCAGGCACCTACCGGCGCTTCCAATCTAGACACACGCAGAACCTCCTCGTTAGCTGGATCTGTTAATTGCTCACCTCCCCCCCCCGGCCGGAGCTCCCGTAGCCACGCGCTGCCGAGCGGCTGTCGCGTCCAGCCCGGAAAGCTGGGACGAGGCAGCACCTCTGCAGAGCTCCTGCACAAAAAGTGACTGTGCCAGAATCAGCCTACAGAGCATTTAACACAAAAAAAAAAAAAAAAAAAAAAAAAAATCTTGCCCATCCTAAGGTCGCTTATCAATTAAAAAGTTCCTCCACATTTATTTAAAAAAACCCAAACAGTAGATTTAAAAAGCAGTTACGAGTCCTACTCCGGCAAAACACCCTGTACAGGTTTCTTTTGTTGGTGGTGAGGATTCCCCCTATATCAGCTGCTTCTGTTAATTTTATATATATATAATCTTTTAATTTTGCCGCGCGTTGCTTGCTTTAATTCATTAATTTATTTCCAATCAGCCCAGTCTCCACCAGACCAGCGGCGCTACCACACAAAGCTTCCTTATGTCCATGCCCTGAGCTGGGGTGGGGGGAGATGGATGGAGGGAGGGCGGGAGAGATGAGTGGAGGAGGAGGAGGAGGAAGAGGAGGAGGAGGAGGAGGAGGAGGAGGGGTGGAGGGAGGGAGAGGAGGGGGAGGAAGCCGTCGGGCAGCCCCTCACTCTCCCATGTGCGTCCTCAGGTGGTACTTGAGGGACTGCTTGTAGCGGAAGCACTTGGTGCACTCGGTGCAGGGGTAGGGCCGCTCTCCGGTGTGCGCCCGCTGGTGCTCCAGGAGGTGATGCTTCTGCGTGAAGTTCTTGCCGCACTCGGTGCAGTGGTAGGGCCGCTCGCCCGTGTGGATGCGCTGGTGCTCCAGGAGGTGGTGCTTGCGGATGAAGCCCTTCCCGCAGACGGCGCAGGCGTGCGGGCGCTCCCGCGTGTGGATGCGGTAATGGTTGGTCAGCTTGGACTTCTCGCTGAAGGTCTTCTCGCACTGGCTGCACTGGTAGGGCCGCTCGCCGGTGTGAGTCCGCTGGTGCCGCAGCAGGTGGGAGGGCCGGGTGAAGTTCTTCCCGCACTGGGGGCACAGGAAGGCCATCTCGTTCTTGCCGGCGTGGATCCTCTGGTGCATGAGGAGGCTGATCTGCAGGCGGAAGCTCCTGCGGCACTCGCCGCAGGTGAAGGGCCGCTCCCCGACGTGGGTGATCTGGTGCTTGCTGAGGCTCGACTTGTGGCTGAAGCTGCTCTCGCACTCGGAGCACTTGTAGGGCTTCCCCGGAGGCGGGGGCCGCGCCGGGGGCTTGAGGCCGTGCTCGGGGCGCCGCGGGACCCCCACGCCGCGGCGCGTGTGGCTGCGCTGGTGCAGCAGGAACTGCTGCTTGTTGCGGAAGCTGAGGTCGCACTCGTGGCACTCGTAGGGCCCTTCCTTGAGGTGGTTGCGCTGGTGGATCATGAAGTTGATCTTGAGCATGAAGCTCTTGCCGCACTCGGGGCAGATGTAGGGTCTCTCCCGCGTGCGGTTCCGCTGCTGGGCGCTGGCCGGCTTCATGTCCCCGGAGTCCCTCTCGCAGGCCGACGGCTTCCTCACGCGCCCCGCCAGGCCGCGGGGCTGGGCCTTGGAGCTGCACTGCGCCTCGCAGCCCAGCCCGGCCTCGTGGCTGGGGAAGGCCGGCGGCTCGGCCCTGCCCGAGAACATGGCGCACGGCTCCAGCGGGTCGGGGTCGTCCTCCTCCTCCTCCTCCGTCTTGATCACGATCCCGTCCTCTGCGGGGGAAACCACAACAGCGTCAGGGTCATCGGCCGGGACGGGGTGGCCTTTGAGGCGCGTGGTGGGTGCTACAGGAACATCTGAGGGGCTCCTGCAGCCGTTTGCCCCTGCCTGCTCTGCCCCACCACCCCGAGCCGGCTGCAGCCAGAGCCCGGAGCGCTGGGATGGGCCGTGTCACCCCTCAACACAGACAAACAGCCCCTGAGGGGGCCCTCAGACCCTCCTGCCAAATCGTTGGGCAGTTTCATGGTGCTGCAGGATGTGGGGGACAAAAGCGCCATCATTTTGGGAGGCCTCCTGTGGCCCAGTGATTTTGGAGCTGCTCCATCTGCTGCTGCTTCACTGGGATACAAAACACTCCCAGCACAGCACAGCACAGCACAGGGCTGCCGGCATCCAGCTCCGCTCCTGGGACAGCACAGCCAGCCTGGGAATGTCCCCTTCCCTCAGCCTCACCCCCCTCCTTCCCACTGTGACCAGCAGTGGGATGGATGGATCTGGACGAAGGGCAGGCTCCTCCTTGTGTCACTGATGCCAGAAGTGACACAGTGTTTTTGTTTGGTGAGACCTGCCCTGCCAGGGACACGTCCCAGGGACACGTCCCAGGGACACGCAGGAAATCCCCGGTGGATCCCTCATGTCAGCCTGTGCTGCACTTTGAGCCAGCCCTACGTGCTCTTCCAGGAAGAGCAGCCACGCTTTCCCAAGAGGCAGCCCAGATGTATCAAAGCTGTGGCTCTCTTCCCTCCAGCAGAGGGGTCCTGGGGAATTCCAGGTCCTCCTCCTCCTCTGCAGACCCGGGGGCTCAGCACCCCCATCCCAGTCAGTGCCACCACAGCTCCCACTCGGCCCCACCAGCCAGGCCCCACACCTCGGACAAGGACCAGCTCCAGCCCCACTGGTGGCTTGGCTGGTTTCCCTTTCTGAGCCATGAGCAGACCACAGGATCCACGAGGCCCTCGGGAGCCCAACTCTCTCCCTCTTGGTTCGTGTTACACCACCACAGAGCCGTCAGGAGGAGGGAACCCGCTGCTCCCAACCTCCCATCTCCCTGCTCTCCCACCCTCACAGCAGGTCTGCAGGACCTGGCCCACGTGTGCCACCCCACTGGCAGGAGACCCATGAAAGGCCTGGTGTCACTGCCTCTTCACCAAACAAACCCACCCTTCCCCCTTCCTCCTGGCAGCTTGGATGTCACGGGGGTCCTGCCATCCTCCTCCCTGTCCTATGGACCTGCCCCAAGTGACCCCCCCGTTGGTGGATCCCCCACGACCTGCAGGACCCTCCACCTCTGACCAGAGCCACTCCCGAGGCTGCTGCAGCCAGGAACTTTCCTGCTGGTGCTGGTTCTGGGGGGATTTAACTCTGCCCATCCACCCAACCCGTTCCCCACCTTTTCCTGACCCCCCACAGGTCCCACCTGTGCAGCTGCCGTGGTGAACGATGACTCTCTGGATCTCGTTGAAGTCGGCTCTGTACTCGGAGGAGTCGCCCAGGCTGGTCCCTGGGAGGTCCCTCGGAGGGGACACGGAGCTGTAGGGGCTCTCACAAGCCGCCTCCTCGTCCGGGCTCTGGAAGCTCCCCTCTGACTGCCCCGACATCCCGTGAAGCTCGGGGTTCTCGGGGCTGTCCTCGGGCAGGAGCTCCTCCGTTTTGATCACCACCCTTATTCCCGCTGCAGCAAAGAGAGATTCCCGCCCGCCATCATTCCCAGGGGCCGGGATGAAGACACCACTCCCAGCTGAGCCTGCACAGGGGTGTCAGCTGCTCGGCCATTTCTGCTCTCCCCCCAGCCCCTGCCCTTCTCCCGTCCCTGCCACGCTCCCGCCTCTCCCCTGGGATCCACCACAGGCACAGGGGACTGTCCCCACCCTGCCTGAGACTCAGTGCCACAGCTCAGCACCCCTTGGCCCCCCCACATCCCCCGCCTGCAGCTCCCGATGATTTTCCTCTTCCCGTCGGCCTCAATTTAATTTCAGGATCCTTGTGGTGGAGAGGACGGGCAGGGGGGCAGAGTGACCCCACATCCACAGCCTGGCACCAGGGACGGCCAGCAGAGCTGACCTCTTCTAGGACCTCTATTTATCAGCCCCCTTATCCCAGAGCAGCACTTGCTCCAGGACTCGGGATCCCTTGTGCCCTTCTCCCAGCCCAGCCCTGCCCTTGGAGAAACCCCTCAGCACCCCTTCCCCCTGCACACAGGATGGGAGCAGATTTCCTTGCCCGGAAGGGCTTTCCAAGGGTAAACCCAGGCACCATCCACACCAAGAGAGGGTGGAGAGGATTTTCTGTGTGGGTGGGCTTTCCCAGTGGGACCCGATTCTCCTCCCTTGCCGGGCACGCTGGCTCCCTGAGGGCCTGGTCTGGTTGCAGATGCTTCCCTTGCTGATGGCTCCCAGTGCCCAGCTCTCCGGGCTCCTCTTGCCCTGGTTTATATGCTGAGCTGTACCTGGACATCAAATCTCTGATGGGCCAAACTTGTCCTGTTCCTCGGCAAGGCTCCTCCTGATAACCTCCCCAGCCACAGCTCCCAGGGACACCTGCTTTAGCCCAGGGATGAGCAGCTCCTCGGGGCACAACCAGGGCTCCCCTCGTGCCAAGGTCTCACCTGCTGTGGCATCAGTAATGATCTCGCTCTCCTCCAGGTCCTGCTCGTTCCTGCCCCGCGGTTCCTCTCCTTGCTCGATCTGAGACAGAACCCCGGGTTTGGAAATTGCATAGTCTGTTGAGAGACAGAGGGATGGAGAGAGGGATTACTGTACCAGGAATCTAAGGCTGGCTTCCACCTCCCCCCAGTGCCTGAGGGACACGGGAACACACTCAGGAACATCCAGAAGGGGCTGTGGGGAGCAAAGCCAGGCACTGCTGGAGGCAGGAGCTGAGGTGCCACACAGAGAGGAACTGCCTTACAGAAGAACCCCTGTGTTTTTCTGGTGGGGTTTTGGAACTCCTCAGACAAATCCTGGCTCTCCTGAAGCCAAAAGCATTTCTCAGCTCCCAGCAGAGCCGGGATTTCTCCTGAAGCTCCGCAGGAAATGCCTCAAAGCACAGATCATATCAGGCAATTTTTCCCTCTGCAAAAGCTCCCTCTAAGGAGCTGCATGGGCTGGTACCCGCTGCAGACCCAGGAGATGCAGGGAAGCCCTTCCAACAGCCATGGAGAAGGTGCCAGTTTTCCACCACGTAACTCCAGCTGGAAAAGGTTTGGGAGTCTCCAGCCCCCCTGCCTGTGGAGATCCCCCTCAGCCAGGACAGCACCACGGCACGAGCTGGGAGTGAACCCAAACTAGAAACATCCTCCTGTGCTTTTAAGTCTTTAAAATGGGACATTCGGGTCTCATCCGAGGGGATCTCCACGGAGGAGCCAGAAGGAGCCCGGGAGAACGTGCCCCCATATTTACCCAGGGAGATCAGCGACTCGTAGTTCCCCTTCATCACGTTCTTGTACAGCTCCTTCTGCCACTCCTCCAGCTTCTCCCACTCCTTGTCGTTGAAGTAGACGGACACGTCGTCAAATGTCACCGGCACCTGGATCACAAGAGCGCTGGTTCAAGGGCTGCCTCCCTCCCCAGGAGCCCAGAGACGGCAGCTCCCCCTCGGACATAGCCAGCCTTCAGCTCTGCCACGGCCACCAACCAGTTGGTTTTTCCATTTATACAACTCCTGGGCAGGTATTTCTATGGCATTAAAGGGCTCAGCCCAATGGATGGCTCCCAGTGATGAATCCACTTCCCAAAGGACCCAACCTCCTCCTCTCGGTCCCTGCACTCTGCAGAGTGACCGGGCTTAGAGGGAGCCACAAAGGAGAGAAAACCTGGATGCTGGGCTGGACTCATCCCTATGGATGAGCTGACGTAACGCCCGGATTCAGTTACCCCTGAACTCCAGGGAAAGCTCTACTCAGGTCTGCAGGGCTCCCTGTGTGCCCACTGGCCATGGCTTCCCAGACTGTTTGCCAAGGAATAACTCCCAAGGGTAAATCCAGGACGTGCAAACTGTGACATGCTGGAATGCAGCCCTTCAGAGGGAAATGTGGTGCTCCACCTCTGCTCCCTGATTGCACTGATGGGGTACAGGTCTGAGCCCCCTTTTTCACAGCCCTCTCCAGTGACATTCCCTTTCCCATGGTCCCATCTGCAGACTTCCTTTCAGTGGGAAGGTTATGAAATTCAACTAGGAACTGCATACTGATGGTGGGCTCCTTCCAGAGCTTGCCAGCCCAGGGAACTCATCTGCCTTCCCCAAATCCCAAAGCTTTCTCCTTCCCCAGCCTGGGAGACTTCGCAGCACCAAGGTGGTCAAAGAGAAAGAACCACTAAATCTGGGGTGGTTTTGTTCAAACCACCCCACAAAAAATAAAAAATATATGGTATAAAAATAAACCAAAAAAGCATAAATGACTCCTGGGCTGTGCAGAACTGAAAAAACCTCCGGCCTGAGCACCGGGATGTCCCCCTGGGTCCTGTATCCTACTGTATTTTAGTCCCAGAGAGAGATGAGCCGGAAAGGAGGAGCTCCAATAGGGAGCAACTCACCTGCCCCAGGGCTGTCCCTGCTCACCCCCCCCGGGTCCTGCCCTCTGTGAGCATTTTGGGTGCAGACCCCGCACCTCAGGACACCGTTACCTTGGGGACTTCCCCCTTCCTGCCCGGGGGCAGCCGCAGGATCCAGAAGTTCCTGTTCTTGAGCAGGTTCTCCATGTTCTCCAGGCGCCGCTGGAGCAGCCCGTACTCCTGGATGAGGGTGCCCAGCGCCGCGCACTTGCTCTCCAGCTGGTTCCCCAGCTCCGCCGCCGTCTTCTCGCAGTCGATCAGCTTCTTCTCGGCCATCCCCGTGCGACCCTCCAGGTCGAGCAGGCGGGTGGAGTGGGAGTCCACCTTCCTCTCCACGGCCTGCACGGCCGCCACCACGGTCAGGGACAGCTCAGCCGTCTGCGTCTCCCGCTCCGAGGTGCGCTCGGGGCCGGCCGGCGGCCGCAGGGGCGAGGGGCAGTGCGGCTCCGGAGCCTGCGGACACAGGGGGGCAGGGTCAGGCGGGGGACCCCCGTGGGATGGTGGGGGACCCCCGGGGGGATGGGGAACCCCTAGGGTGACAGGGACCCCCCAGGGCGATTGGGATCCCCCCGGGGCAATGGGACCCCCAAGGTGACAGGGACCCCGCCGGGGTGATGGGTACCCCCCACCCAGGTGATGGGAACACCACCGGGGTGACGGGGACACCCCCAGGAGTGATGGGGACCCCCCAAAGGTGATGGGGACCCCGCGGGGGGGCCGCTGCAGAGCCCGGGGGCGGCGGGGACGTCCCCGTGTCCCCGCTAAGCCGCTTACACCGGCCCCGTGCCGGTCCCACGGGACGGGCAGGACCCGCCGCGGCGGGGGCGGGGGGGCGGGGAGGTGACAGCGCGGGGCCGCGAGGTGACACTTGGGGGGGGGGGGGGGGGGGGGGGGGGGGGGGGGGGGGGGGGGGGGGGGGGGGGGGGGGGGGGGGGGGGGGGGGGGGGGGGGGGGGGGGGGGGGGGGGGCGGGCGGTGACACGGGCCAGCCGAGCCCCGTTGCCATGGGCACGGCGGGGGGACACCCGGGGGGCTGAGGGCGCCCCGTCGCCATGGGGACCGGGCGGTGACACGGGGCGGGGGTCGGTCCGGGGGGGCCGCAGGGCCCGGCGACGAGCGGGGTGGGGGGGGCGGCGGCGCGGGCAGGCCCGGCCCCGACGGCAGCGCGGGCGCCGCCGGCCGCGGAGGCCCGTGCGGGCTCGGCGCGTCCCCGCCGCCCCCCCGGGGCCGGCCGTGTCGCCCCCGCGGTGCCCCCGGGGGGGCGGCGGCCCCCCCGCGCTGACAGCCCCCGCCGCCCCCCGCCCGCCCGCCCGGCCCCGACGGCGCGGCCCCGCAGCCCCGACGTGCGGCCCGCCAGCCGGGCCCGGCCCCGCGCCGGGGGCGGCGGGCGCCCTTTACCTGAGCGGGGGCCCCCTCGGCCATGGCCCTTTGTTCCGTGCCCGGGGCCCCGGGGGCCGCGGCCGGGAGGATCCAGCGCCCGCTCTCCGCTTCACCTCCGCCCGCCGCCGGGCATCGGGCTGGGCGCGGGGCGGCGCGGCGGGGCGGGGGCGCGGCTGGGCGGGGCGGGGCGGGGGCGGTGCGGGTCGGGCGGCGGGGCGGGGGCGGTGGCGGCGGCTCCGGCCCCGGGCGGGCTCCGGTGCGGGCGCGGGTGCGGGTCCGGCTGCGGGTCCGGTCCGGCCGCGCCGCTGCCCCGCCGCGCCGCCAGGGGGCGCTGCCGCCGCGCGGGGCCGCGCGCGCGGGCGGGGCGGGGCGCAGCGGGGCGGCCGCGCCAGCAGCGCCCCCTGGCGGCCCCCGGCGGCACCGCCCCCGCCCCGTCGGGGCCCCCCCGGCGGCAGCGCCGGGAACGGGAACGGGAATGGG